CTCTAGTGACAAAGAAGGAATTGTCGCCGCAGAGTTCAGCCCTCTAGCTAGCCCTCTCGTAATTGAATGGAAAGAAAAGAAGGTTTCTTCAGGGGCATTTAACTTCTTCAGACCGCATCTAATCCGTCTAAACGCGGCAAAAGGCTAATTCATCGTATAATCTAGCTAGACCTGACTCGCGCGCACTGTTCCAGGCCAATGGCGCTCGCTAACCTGGACACTGCCGAGAACACGTGAGTACCTTGCAGTGCAAATACTAGTACTAGAAGTACGTAGAACCCTAGAACCACGGACCATGTGTGGGTTCGTGTTCAAGAAAGACGAGAGGGAGAAAGATTTTGGACCCATGCTGTGGCCCTGTTTAGTTATAAAGTTTTTTTTTCCAAACTTTTAACTTTCCATCACATCAAACTTTTCATATACACATAACTTGCATGGTGGTCCGCGCAGATTGCGCGGCTAGCATCATTATATTTTCTCTTATATAAAATCATATATGTTTTCTCATTATATTATTAAAATATATTACAATGACAACATAATTTTGAATTTTGCAATAACTTTTCAAAACTACTAATGTGTAATAACTACTCTAGTCTCCTCTTCTAATTTTCCTTATTTTTTAATTCTGAATTTCAGCTATTTCTAAATTGTATTTCTATATGGACTCTGCTTTTTTTTTCTCTGATTAATGTGAGAATTTATAGGCAATGAGAGCGAACGTGTAGGCTCCTTTTTATTCCGAATTTCAGTTGGTTTTAATTCAAATATGAACTCTATATTCTACTTCTAATATTCCTTATTTTTTAATTCCAAATTTCTATTTTTTTTTCTTAATTGTATTTCTATATGGACTCTATACTCTACTTCTAATATTTCTTAATTTTAATTCCGAATTTCGGTTATTTCCTAATTGTATTTCTATATGGACTCTATACTCTACTTCTAATATTCTTTATTTTTAATTCCGAATTTCAGTTATTTCCTAATTGTATTTCTATATGGACTCTCTAGTCTCCTCTTCTAATATTCCTTATTTTTTAATTCCGAATTTCAACTATTTCTAAATTGTATTTCTATATGGACTCTAGTCTCCTCTTCTAATATTCATTATTTTTTAATTCCGAATTTCAGCTATTTCTAAATTGTATTTCTATATGGACTCTGTTTTTTCTTTTTCTCCGATTAATGTGAGAATTTCTAGGTCATGAGAGCGAACGTGGAGGGTCTTTTTTTTTCCAAATTTTAGTTAGTTTTAAATTCCTATATGGACTCTAAACTCTACTTCTAATATTTCTTATTTTTTAATTCCGAATTTCTATTTTTTTTCTTAATTGTATTTCTATATGGATTCTATACTCTACTTTTAATATTCCTTATTTTTAATTCAGAATTTCTATTATTTCCTAATTGTATTTCTATATAGAATCTATACTCTACTTCTAATATTCCTTATTTTTAATTCCGAATTTCTATTATTTCCTAATTGTATTTCTATATGGACTCTATACTCCTCTTCTAATATTCCTTATTTTTAATTCCGAATTTCAACTATTTCTAAAGTGTATTTCTATATGGACTCTAGTCTCCTCTTTTAATATTCCTTATTTTTTAATTTCGAATTTCAGCTATTTCTAAATTGTATTTATATATGGACTCTGTTTTTTTTTTCTCCGATTAATGTGAGAATTTCGAGGCCATGAGAGCGAACGTGGAGGCTCCTTTTTCTATTCCTTTAATTATATAATAGATTTTTCTATCACATCGTACCAATTTCAAATAAACTTTCAAATTTAGTGTGATCTAAACTTCAGTGTGGATGAAAGATCAGCCACAGGTTCTCTCCTTCATCAAGGCGTAGCACTATCCAGGTTGACGCTTGACATGACAAGCATTCACTCCGCCGTACACCGACTCTCTGTGTGTGTTCAGCACGCGGATCCCCCGGACGCGCTGACTCCACCTGCAAATCCTCAACAGTGCAAGGGGGATCGCTCTAGATGCGACCGCAATCTACCACACTGACGACGACGCCATTGCTGCCATCAAAGAGATAGCTTAATTAAAAACAGTAACCACTCATAAATGGATGTGTTTCAGCTTAGCTTCTTGCTGCAGAATCGTCTGAACGAGAAGGAAAAATGTCCAATTTGATCATCGCTTCAGTGAACTTTGGAAATAAACTCGAGACTTGTTAGCTCGTGTTTACACCTGCGCCACACGTACACTAGCCTCTGCCTTTTTGCACTGATCAAATCTCATCGAATAGCCGACCCCAACACTATCAATCCTTTTCCGTTGTCAAACCGTGCAGATTCAATCGACTGCCGCTGCTACTTGCTAACTACTTCCAACGATCCAAGGCAGGCACGCGCAAGAGCAAGCATGCCTGGAGATCTCTTCTTGGTAGTTAGCTTGGTTGACCCATTAATACCGGCCATTTGTGCCCCCCAAAAGTGCTCGATCTCTTCATTAGTGACTAGTACTTGGCCACGACAACCATCTTTAGATCTGTAACTACTTCTATAAAGTGTTCAACTTCTTCTGTCTCGATCGATAGCAACGTCGAGTTCGATGGCCTGTTCACCAGAAATCAATTAATATGAGAGGTTGGCCGCCAAACTGGAAGGAAGGTTAAGAGAGTATAGTTTAATAGGAGTACGCTACGATTCGGTATACGCTACTCGTCTATACGCCTCTCATGAGAATGATTGTTATTTCACGTCACCGTCTTCGTTGTCGTTGGTATGTCTAACCGTATTTCTGTTTATCTATATATCTATCCTGCACTCGAGAGGCAGTTGGGTAACTGTAATGACGAAGCGAATGGAGAAGTTTACGCCGGCCATTAAAGCCGATGAAAATGCCGTTAAATCTTTGGGATTGGAGATGCCCTTATTTTCAACGAAAATCTTCGGGCACAGTGCCGTCGTTGTCCTATGATCCTATCATCCTACCCCCAATCTAGCGAGTGGTACTATCCCTGTTCCGACAAGTGAAAACGACTCGATTTGATCCAAAAAGATGAACTTTTCTCGACCAGCTAGCTCATCAGCCACGAGGTATACGTCCAACCAAGCGGGTGTGTCTAGTTCACGCTAAAATTAAAAATTAAAAGTTTAGTTGAAATTTAAACGATGTGATAGAAAAATTAGAAGTTTATGTGTGTAGAAAAGTTTTGATGTAAGTTGAAAGTTTGAAGAAAAAGTTTAGAACTAAACTCGGCCAATATTGAACAAAAACATTTGGACGGTGGATGTTGCGTCGGAGCTGGTCCAATATTGAATCCGAGTAGTTCCCAACGCAAAGGGGAACTAGGCATGTTAGTTTTGACCATGAGACACCTTGCCCCAATTCGTTAATTAACATATGGCTAATCAAAACTCGTAAGGCCCAGCGTGTGCAGTGCAGTGCAGTGAGGCAGCAAGCTAAGGCATGCAACTACCTAATCAGTGCTATTAAATTGTGGCCATGTGGCAAATAAGACAGGGGAAGGAGGATTAGAGAAAACGGTGGTTAGTCACGCACACATGACAAAACGCAAGAGACACGAGAGACAGAGAACAGCTCAGAGGGTAGCTAGCCAATCAGTGGCGGTTGCTCCACCAAACTTTGGAAACGAGTACCAAAAACTGGTCGATGATTCCGTTTCGCTCATCATCACCGGCTTATTTTAATGGGACATTCCCCCACTAAAAAGCTGAGCGGCTTTCTCCGATCGCTAACTACAATCAGGCATCCAGAACGAGTCGTTGATAACTTTAAAAAACTACTCCTAGTGCCGTGCTGTGCTACCACTGTAAACCCTAAAAAAAAATGCCACGCTGTAACAAAGTTGTTACCGGTTACTTGAACTGAGTAAAAGAAAAGGGAATTGCTATACGTTATTTGAATGAAATTTGAATATAAAATCTTCTAGATTTTGGTTCATTGGATCCATACTAAGATTCATGCATCGGCTTCTCTTCTCTAACTGTAGTGGGCTCCCTTTCTTCTCCGGTACCGGCGACACTCCCAACTCCGATAGGGAATATACGGATTAGGGTTTAGGGTTGGGGTCAGGATAGGAGAGGAGGTTGGGGAGGGGGAAGAGCGGGTTTCCTCGGGGCTTAGAGGGATGGCAGTGGGCGGTGGACTTCGGCGGGCGGCGAGGTGGTGGCGGCACCGCCGAAGCCGTAGGGATGGAGAAGGGCGGTGGGCCGGCGTTGGCGGCAGGGGCAAAGCAAGCATGCGATTAGGAGGCGACGACTAGGTGATGGTGGATCCGGCAGCTGGGAGCCGCCGGAGACAGGGAAGATGATGGGGCGGGGGCATCTCGCCATCACCACCTTGAGAAGAAAGAGAGGGAGGAAGGGGGAGCGGGGAGGGGGAGGGGGCTCATCGAGGGGCCCTTATCGGCGCCGTTGACTCCTTTCGGCCAGTCGGCGAGGCGGGTGATAGCGCGGTGGGGCGGTGGCGGCGGTGGATTGGGCGGTAACGCGATGGCAATGGTGGATCGGAATGCTCGAGGAAGCAAAGGGAACATGAGAAGAAGAGGTAGGGTTAAGGGCTTGCACAAAACTTAAAGCAAATTTGATGGTCTAAAAATCGAATGATATAAGGTGGGATTTTATATTAGAAGAGGTATAGGCATCAAAGAAAAAAAATTGGTAAATTTTGTACTCGTAGCTAGTACTGGTTCCAAAATTTAACTGTCAAGGCAAGTACAAGGGAGGTCGGGGAGGATGATTGGGTTGGGTAGAGCGGCCACACTATTGCGGAATTTCGCGAGGCCAAGTGAGGGTACACCAGGACACCAGGTACTACACCAGTACTGGGTCTCACGGCATCTCGCATCGCGATCAGCGGTCAAATCCCACACACACGCCGTAGGATCCAGTCAATGGAGAGAGGAAAAGAAAACCAACCAACACAACAACACAGAAAAGCTTCGCCAAGTGAATCACCCAAAAAAAAAAAACTCCTCTCTACGACTCTACCAACACGCCGCCGTCGCCGGCTCGCTCGCTCGCTGCCCATATATACGCGCGCCTCGCGTCTCCACTTCCCCTGCTATTACTACTAGTACAAAACCAACGCGAAGCTCTCGTCGCGCACAACCAACTCGACACCGCGGCGAGGCGAACCAACGCGCGGCGTGGGCATGGGGAGGTCGCCATGCTGCGAGAAGGCGCACACGAACAAGGGGGCGTGGACGAAGGAGGAGGACCAGCGGCTGATCGCCTACATCAAGGCGCACGGCGAGGGTTGCTGGCGGTCGCTGCCCAAGGCGGCGGGGCTCCTCCGCTGCGGCAAGAGCTGCCGCCTCCGCTGGATGAACTACCTCCGCCCCGACCTCAAGCGCGGCAACTTCACCGACGACGACGACGAGCTCATCATCAAGCTCCACGCCCTTCTCGGCAACAAGTAAGTTGTAAACGGATTTCAATGCGCTGTCATCTGTTCTTGTGTTCTTGGTGCTGATCGATCGTTTGGTTGGTTGGCGCAGGTGGTCGTTGATTGCGGGGCAGCTGCCGGGGAGGACGGACAACGAGATCAAGAACTACTGGAACACGCACATCAAGCGCAAGCTCCTGAGCCGGGGCATCGACCCGCAGACGCACCGGCCGGTCAGCGCCGGGAGCAGCGCCGCCGCGGCGAGCGGGCTGACCACGACGGCCAGCACCGCCGCCTTTCCGTCCCTTGCGCCGGCGCCGCCGCCGCAGCAGCACAGGCTACACAACCCGGTGCACGCCGCGGCGCCGAGCAATGCGAGCTTCGCCAGGTCCGCGGCGTCCCCGCCGTCGGAGGACGGCCACAGCAGCAGCGGCGGCAGCTCGGACGCGCCGCGGTGCCCCGACCTCAACCTCGACCTCGACCTCGACCTGTCCATGAGCCTGCCGAGCTCGCCGCCCAAGACGCCGGCCGCCGCGTCGTCCACGACCGCGTCGCGCCACCATCACCACCAGCAGCAGAAGACCATCTGCCTCTGCTACCACCTCGGCGTCCGCAACGGCGACGTCTGCAGCTGCAAGGCGGCCGCGCCATCGCCGGCCGGCCCACGCGCGTTCCGGTTTCTCAGGCCACTGGAGGAGGGCCAGTACATATAGCACAGCAGGCTTTAGGGAAAAAAAACCTGTAAAAAACACAAAAAAAAACGGTGGGCAATAGAGTTTTTTCTAAGTTCTAATGGAGATGACTGATGTTGATTAGTTTGATTCTTGATGTTTATCATTAACCAAAAATCTGATTCTTTTCCTCTTCCCAATTTTCTGATTTGATTTAGCAGAATCTTACAAAAAGTAATTGGAGATCATAAAACAAAACTAAAATGGAAATTATAATGAGCGAGACTGTGAGAAAATATAAAGTATTGCTGGGTTGCGCATCCAGTTCGGGCGTCCCAAGTGCCGTTTGTGTCATTTGGGACATATCGCGAGAATACAGCATGTGGTGTGTTTTCGGTAGGTAGGTACAAACTACTCCTGCTTGGGTTATCCGATAGCAAATAAAATCCATTAATGACTCATGGTGGTTAGGCACCGGAGAAAGTGAGACTGACAATGTTACATTTTGGTGTTAAGGTTTGGCTGTTCGTTTAACAATGACAACGACATGAGATTCTAAACGTGGTGATATATAGTGGTAGTTAGCCAACCAACCTTAGAAACCTATATTGGTGGTGGTAACTAAAATTTACTTTTGTTTCTATTGGAATAGCATGCCTTAAAAAATACTCTCTCTGTCTCAAAATATAATACTTCCTCCATCTATTTTTGATAGTCATATTTCTAAATCTGAAAAATTTATTTTTGAATGACATATTTCAATCCAACAACCTATCATCTTAATGATTTTCTTGGATTTAATGCGTGACTCTCCATTCTTCCACACAAGATTGGCTACATGGGCATCGAGAAATGTAAATATTAATGAATCGCTTATTTACAAAGAATGACTAGTAACATATTTAAATAGATGATAAGTAGAATTGCTTATTTTTGGTCTGTGTGCCAAGATGAAATATGACTGTCAAAAGTAGATGGAGGGAGTAACTTGTAGCTCTCAAGATTTATCCTAAAATATAACAATATCTCCACCAACATTATCTTCCCAACTAATCACAACTCTCTACCATTCACTTCTACCTACTTTCTTAATAACCGTGTCTAACTCTAAAACTTCTTAGAGCAGGTACAAAAGTAAACTATTAGCCAGCTGCAAACATATTTTAATGAGATAAAAGATGAGTGAGAAGAGCAGCGGGCTACAGATCTATAGCCAGTTGCAGCACGGACTCCAAGACGCAATGTGTGTATGACATGGGGGACTATATATTAATAGTATAGTAAGCAACTATTATATGAATTGGCTATAAATGAATTGGAGGCAGTAGTAGGCTATATTATTAAACTTGCTCTTATATTATAGGACGGATGGAGTAGGCAGCAACATCATACTCCCTCCATACTCATTAAGGAGGTCGTTTAGGACAGCGACACGGTCTTCAAAACACAATTGACTTCTTGTTTCTATAAAAATATTTATTGAAAAGTGATATATTTATATTTTTATGAAAGTATTTTTCAAGACAAATCTATACATATAATTTTTACATTTTCAAACTCAACAGCTTGAGAGTTATTTATGATTTATATTCCCAAGGTTCGACTTAAACATTGTGATAAACGATTTTTTTTATGAGTACGGAGGGAGTATTTCTAAAATAAACAATTAAAATCGGGTATAGGTTGGTCAGTACAGAGCATCAATTATGTTGCATATCTGTTTTCCATCTGATATATAAAAAGAAACAATTATACATGTTTTTGGCTAGAAAAGATTTCGTTCACAAGTAATACTAATAAGAAAGCTATAAAAAGAGCCATTATATTTGAGCAAAATGGCTCCTTCTCGTTAATTGCTACCATCGATAATCTTGATAGGGTGTTTGATATAGTTGGTAGGAAATGTCCAAACTACGTATCTCTCTCATCTCTCACTATTCTTTTTCTCAAATTTAGCCATAGTCTTACCAAAACCCATATCTTGTGCTTTCTCTGTCAAAAAATATTGCAACTTAGGATAGAGTTTATATTCCTATTCATATTCTATGTTTCAATATTTTTAGATAGAGGTAGTAACATTTTATAGTAGTTTCCTGAGCAATATGTACTTTATGTAGATAATACATGGAAGTCTGGAACCAAGAGATCGATATAAAGTCTTGGCATGCTTGGCCTAATGTGTCTCATGAAACACATGGCTTATGGAAAATAGCTGAATAATCATTCGAAACTTCTTATGTTTTTGTTACTTTTGTCAAAACTACGAAAAGGAGTTCCTTGCAGGTAAGTTCGACATGGACATGGATATGTTTATTCTTCTCGTGACTATGGATATCCACTCGATTACCCTGAGTCCCTGATCCACTCTTTCTGCGCTAATGTTTGAGGGTATCTGGTTTAATTTTCTACTTTGTCAAATGAATCAAAAGAAATTAGGCAACTTTTAACATGACGAGGCAATTCGTTGATTCATAACCGATTTTTTTGTTCGGCAACTTCTTAATACTGCAGCCCAATGTGGCGAATACTTAGCCAAACACGTGCTTATTTTTTTCCGAGCTGGCATGTGTCAAGTACCCAGTGGATCTTCTTAGTTTTGGGAAGATGGACCAACTCCACAGATACCTGGAAGTTTCGTGTCAGATTTGTAGTGTGACACCTGAAGCAGGAAAGATTGATTATGGAGTCCCCATCTTTAAATTCCATTAATTATAGTAATGCTAGTATGTGTCAATGTGTGTAAGGTCAATGTTTGATTCATTTGCCATCATATTTGAAACGAGAATATTTGAAGTCAGACGCCGAATCGATTGCCCCCAATACAAAAACGGTCAGAGCATAGATGATGGTCCGTGGCCGGCGACACGTATGCTGTCCGTCTCGTGACTTTACCAACCACCTGTACCTTGTTGCTGCTGCTCGTTACGCTTCCTTGTTGCAAGTACGCGAAATGATCTGTCAGTGTGATCTCTCTCGTGGCGCGGCTGCAATGTGAACCTACGAACAAGGGAGATGATTGCCTGATTACCTCGTTCCGGATTCAGCTAAAAACGTGGTTTTCAAGACTATATGCTGTTGACAAAAGAGTGCAGAAACTAAAACTGTATAGTCATGTTACTACCTCACGAACCCGTAAAATCTGCAAGCTTCCTTTCCAGATCAGTGGACTTTCATGGCTACCGGGAGGATTTTTCTCTCGAGGTTCCGTACCATCTACTCCCACAAACCACAAGTTGTTTGCATATACTCATCACGGGTTAACTAACCAAGGGGGCACACGTTCTTTTCCGACGTTTTTTTTATTCTTCTCCCCCTTGTTCTTCTCCATGTTTATCTGCAGCAACAAGCTGTAGATACCGTCACAAGTGCGTGACAGATTCCGTTACGTGACCTCATGGGATAACTCCCTGTACCAAACCGCTTTTTTTCTTCCTTTTTTTTTTTTTTGCCTTCACCAAAAGTCATCGTCGTCATCGCCTTGTTTGCCCATGATGGCTTACGTACGCCTCGGTGGCGACCGGCGCCCCGGGGTTCCTCGCGCCGTGGCGCGTCTCTCGCCACGTACGTCTCGTCGATCGCGCCCCGCGGAAACTTTGAGAGATTTTACGTTCTCTCCCTAGCCGGAATCGGCTGTCGCCGTCGGGCGCGGCTAGCGATCGAGAGATACCATCGCGGAGATGGCAGTGGCACGCGCGAGCCGCAAGGTGGATTTGGATGAGGGGGGAAACGTGTGCGCGAATGCGCGATCGCGGCAAAAGCTGCGGCGCAGTGCGTGACACATGCGCGATAATCGTTGGAGACTGGCTGGCCGGTGCTGTGCGCGAGCGGGATCGTGAAAGGTTTCCGCGTGTTACAAAAGTTAGTTGTAGTTGATACGTTGAAACGACGACTAACCTTTCTAATCATTTTAGTCATTAATCACCAAACATATATTAGACGAAGACATACGTTGTTTAGATAATAAAATGACAACACACGTTATATATCGTTAATAAATATTGTGTGTTTTATATCATCATCTGACGTGTTTTAGGTGATCAATGACTAAAGTGATGGGGAAGATGAACTGTCGTTCCGGACTAACTTCTCCAACATCGCAGAAATCGTCTCTTCTACCGTTCACCGCCGTCCGGAATGCGTAATCCTTGCTTGAACCGAACTGAAAAACGTCGCCCGTCATCCGACCGAAGGGACCCAAGGTTTGGTATCTTCGTTTGAACTTTTGGCATGCTTTTATGTCTTATGCTAACAGAAGATAGCCATCGCGTCGAATCAAGAAACCAAAAATATCGGCTCATGGTGGGCTAATACCAAAACCGCTACCACCACAGTACTACTACCTAGTATTTAGTATCACTTGACTGTCAAGACATGAAAGCAGGAACAGCGACTCATCCTCGGGGGGTGATCTGATCTCATCTCATCTCTAGGCCGGCAGCAAGTGGTACTACTAACTGATGCGACCCCACGCGGAGGCGCAAAGTGCTGCTCCTTGTGCTGCTGGGCGTCGTGGCGCCGTGAATCCCCACACAAAACACCGTTCAAATCAGCGAGCTTTTAGCTTTGGAGGCGATCGCATCTGTGTGCTGTGCGTGGGGGGAAAAGAACAACGTGGGATCGATGTGGTTGTTGCTGGTTGGTGGGGCGATGACATCACCGACGACCGCCTCGCACCGGCGCGCCGCACCTAACCGGGCAATCCACCGGTGGATCCATCGAAATCGCGAGCTGTAGCTGTTCCCGGCACGCGTTCGGCCTTGGGCCCCGGCCCCCGCGACGGCACGCGATTTCCGGGTCGCGTTTGGCCTTGGCACGCTGTAACTTGGAAAAAGAAAACCGGCCACTTGGGCACGGATGATGCATGCATGGATGGAGGAGTAGTGATCTAATGATCTAATCCATATCGCCAACCTAATCGTCATCTTCTTGATGAAGGCCGCAACTGGCTAATTAGCTCGTGACAGGAAAGAATGTTCAGATAACAGGTGATAGATGCGAGAAGGGTCCAGCAGGTCATCAGGTTTGCAAGTTTGTTTTCTCCAGCTCAGTTTGTAATTTGGTCGAGAATTATATGTCGAGTTTATCATCAGTTTAATAAATGTCCTTTGAACATAGTACAGTGGCCGGTCGGGCCAAGAAAACTGGCTTTCGAAACGAATTGCTTCACGCTGGTGCCGAGGCAAAGCATCATGGTCATGGA